AGACTTAAAAACTAGATTTGATAATCTCAACCGTTGAATAGGTAGTAGGTCTCAATAAATGCTGGGATCCACAGTGAAATCAACGGTTGAGATTATCAAGTCTAGTTTTTAAGTCTACTTTTTAAGTCCATGTAGCATTACTCTTGGAAAAATTAACTCTCAACCCACCTTATTCCAATTACACTCATATTTGGATACATTTTTTAGACCCGATATTACCACCTAAAATAATACCGGCCTATATGAATATTATATTTAATACCACATACAACCTCTTAAATAAATCTACATTTTTAATTGGTTAAATAATCCAATTGGTATGTATTCGGCCAAAAGACATTTTTTACCTTCAAATATTTCTAAGATATAAATATCACTCTTTATCTTGAGAGTTCTTTAATAATTTAATGTTTATACCTTCATCCAATACTCAATCCGAACAAAATATTAGATAGAATAAATATGGAACCCACTAATTCTTAATACTTCAACCAAACTTCGGATAAATAATTATTATCACTATAATTAGTCCGGTCCTTTCTAATGTTTAAACTAAACATTCCCTTAATTATCCGATATCTGTTAGCATACCAGTCATATATATCATTTAGTATATAACATTTAATAAAAAATTTGATAACCACAACATTATTCTACTAATTTTTAATGCCTTAAATAAAATGTAATTTGATGAGGTTTAAATTTCAATTATTTGACGTTTTGAACTTTAAGAAAAATTGTGAAAAAATTAAAACGATTTCGTCAAAATCCAAACTTCCTTGATTTATCTGGAAATATTTTCTAACTTTAGGATAAAAGATACCACTACTAAATAATGTTCAGTCTTTAAAACTATAGTAAGAAAGGAAATTTTACCAAATGAAACAACAAAAGCAAAAGATTTCGTCAGTGGTTTAAGTCGCACCGGTGTTTAGTGAGATGAAATGCTGGAAAAGGTAGACATAATTAGTGGTGTCCATGGCCATATGTCGAGCTTGACCGGCGAATTTTTTTTTGGTTGGGCCGGATGAAAGAAGTCCAAACCCTTTTTCTAATGAATTATCGGATAGAACAGATCAAACTTCAGGTAGAAATAAATTATCCGTAGGCTACCCTGTCACTAACTGGACAGGCCTGTTGGAGCAAACCTACTAGATGAGTTTTTTATATATAATTTTATTTAGAAATAAAAAATATTTTTTATAATTTAATATCTTTGTAAATTACATTTTCAAATTAAAAAAAAATTAAATAGGCAAAAAATAAATAATAAATAATTTTATTTATAAATAAGAGAAAAATTACATCACAATAGAATGAAATATCTCAACTAAATTAACACCTACCCTCCTATCTATCTTTTTCCAATTTAATGTGTCTAATTTTTAAAGGAAGGTGGGCAATCTACTCGGACTAAGAGGACAGGTTCTTAGGTCAAATTTTAATGGATTTTTTACGAATGAGTTATTGGACTTAATTTCAGACCGAATAATTTGTTTTGAAGTACATCCAAGCCCTCTCTTGAAGAATATTGGGCTCGAGCTCAAATAGACCAATTATCAGGTCTATTAAATTTTGAACTTATTTTTTCAAAGCCAGGTAACGAAACCCAAGGACAATCCAGCCCATGAACACCCCGAAACATAATAATATGAGTTGTTTAATTGAGTATGAATCCATGAGATGCATAAGAGCATCTCCAACAAATTATTGAAGAGAATATTTAACTTACACTTTTAAACATTATTTTTTATATTTTGTACCTTTGTTAAAACCTATTGGAGAGGAGAAAAAAATTGAAGAGAATGATAATGAGTGGACCAGAGAGCTTTGAAAAAAACTACATGAGAAAAAATATATATTATAAATTATTTATCTATGATGTTACAATGAAGCTTTATATTTAAAACATCATTTTAACAATTATATTTTACTTATCCTAAAAATATTTTTTAGCCTTTGGATAATTAAATTTTAAAATTTTAGATATTCTCTCAAAAATACTCTTATGTTTTGTTTGGTAGGAAAGATGAAAAGTAAGAAAGATGGAAAATAAGAATACATTTTCTTTGTATTTTGGTTGTGAATGAATGAAAAATAAAAATAATTATTATTTTTTTAATTTTTTTTTTGTGCTATCTAAGATTAGGGGTGACAATCGAGTCGAATCGTGTCAGATTCGTGTTAAATCATTATGAGTTGTGTCAAATATTAGTTAAACATATCTTAACTTATTTAATTAATTGTGTCATGTCGAATTACAAATTAACCTGTTTATTTTTCTATCAAGTTCGAGTTATGTCATTGTGTTGAGTTCAAAATTTTCATTTAACTATAAGATGAAATTTTTTATTTTTTTTAAATATATATATACATATTTTATCATTATATTTTTATATGAAATTAATGTATACATGAGATATATAGACAAATAAAATATATCTCAACATAAATAATTAATTTTTTATCTATTTGCTTTGGAAGAATTAATTTTGATAAATTAAATGAAAAATTAATTTATCTACTTTCTTTTCTTACTAAATATGATATTTTTTTTATTCATCTAAACTTTGAATTTTCTTATTTTTTTATCGTACCAAACAAAACCGTACGGAACATTAAATGAAGGCATAACATGGTGGGGGTGGGGGTACTTCAAATCTGGTGCACAGGAAACCATTTCTAGAGGCTTTCATGTCAACAGTCTGCCGAAAGGATTTTGTTTCAAGTGTCGTCGTAATATTACTTTTTAGTATCATATATTTAGTTTTTTTGTATAATATAAATATATTAAAACATATCAATCGATAAAACTAATTTTTAGGAATATAAATTAATCGTAAACATGGGTCTAATCGTAAAAAACTAATTTAGTTTATAAATAGTTTAGTTTATAAATATTATAAAAACTAATTTTACTTTAATATTTAGAAAAACTAATAGTTAATAAATATTATAAAAACTAAACTATTTATAAAAACTAATTTAGTTTATAAATATTATAAATATTAGTTTATAAACTAATCGTAAAAAACTAATTTAGAGAATTATATTAAAACTAATTTTTAGGGGTAAAACTATTTACGATTAAGATCACTTTAAATTTTACTTTAAAATTTAATCTAATAACTAATATTAACACCCTAAATTTTAATGAAAAAAATAAACTTCTAAATGTATGTTTAAAATAACTTTTTAAAAATATTTCTATAAATTAATTCTCATAAATACATAAAAAAAAAATGTTTAAAACCACCACCACCATCGCCGCAACATCAATTCCACTTGCCACAACCACTACCATCTCCTACCACCACCATGACCCACCACCTCTTACTCCTTATTACAAATAATACTTAAATTCATTTTTTTTTTCTTTATATTTGTGATTTAATTTTAAATATAAATATAAATATATTTTTATTGTTTACCATTTTTTATTACTATATGCCTTTAAGTTCATACAATTAATTAATATTCTATATTTTAGCCATTCAAATTTTTAATACACTCTAATAAATTTTTATATTTTTACTAAGACTATTGGAGGGAGAGAGAAAATATAAAGAAAAGACAAGAGTGGACAGTAAAGATAACAAAGGATAAGAAAAGAGAAAAAATAATAAACTACTTATATAAATTACCACAATAATGCTCTATATTTAGAGTATTACTACAATAAAAACACCATCTTAGAACATTTAAATATTTTGTTAAGAGCATAATTTATGTTTTTAATTAGTTTTAAACTTTTTAACTATTTTAAAGTTTTAAACTATTCTAAGAATGACTAGTACAATCAAATCTAAATAATTATAAGTGACTAACTAATTTATCTACGTTCATTTCTCAACTTTTTTATTTTTTGGTTAAATGTTTCATTTCTCAACTTACAAACATTTACAACCACCATAAATGATACATCGGATGTAACTTTTCAAGTATTTAGTTCATGAACACCGTATATTAAAGATTCGTTTAATAGGCAAATAGGCATATTGTGAAAAGATTCAATATTAAATATTTCTATTTTTTATTTAATCAAGCCTAATTATTTCATTTGATAAACAAATTTAATACCATATTAATTTTAAAAATATATATTTAATATATATTTTTTATACAATAGAACTGTATAATATTTTAATACTACCAAGAGAAATAATATTATAATCTAACTCAAACATATTATTCTACACAATTATTATTATAACCCTCCGACAAATAAAATCAAGTTAAAATCAATGTAACAAACACCAATATAAAGTATTTTTTTTTAATTTAACATAAATACCATAAAATAATTCTCTAACCAATCAACCAACTAAATTAAATAACAACTATATTTATATTCCTACTTTTAATTTTTTACCCCACCAAACCAGGCTGTCATCAAAAATAAAAAGGTTCCTCATTAAGGCACGATAAGGAGCGCAAGTATTTATCACAGCAAGCCAATAACCAGTTTGGTAACCTCTGTTGTGATTACGAGATTATCTACAATAATGCGGTGTTTTGTCTTTCAATATTGGTTTGATAAATCAATGTGCCATGAAAAAACACTTTTCATTGTAGGAAACACATTCAAGTAAAAGCCAAAAAAGATTAAACACTTGAAGAAAAACATGATGTATAAGGGGTAAAGAGAGCAGTACATCATTTAGATTTCAGAAGTATCAACAAGACCTTACAGTGCAAAAGCACTTGAAACATTGAGACAACAATACAAAGACCCATGTTTGCAATTCACCCCAGATGCGAGCATGCACACCCACAACTCCAAATCCAGGGAGAGAGTGAAAACACAGGTCACATCAAACCCTAAATAGTACTCATATCAGGCTTGTTTCTTCTTTTGCTCCGAAGTCCAAAAGTCCAAATACACAACGCAAAGTAACTGACTGTGTAACTGAGTTCCCTAGCTCCTAATCAAGAGAGAGAGAGAGAGAGAGAGAGAGCATGAAATGATGCAGCAAGGAGGGTTTGATTGTTGGTTTCGTTCAAGGCAACAGGTGAGAGGCCCTGCACTTACCAACAGTAATGGGCATAGTGATTGAGGTTGAACCATTCCGAGGTGGAGAAAGAACCACAGGCAAGTACTCTTTCGTGGAACATGCGAAGCTTGAATTCTGGAAATGCCGAACCAGCTCATTCTTGCCCTTTATTATTTTCAAACACCAGACCACAGAAAGAAATAAACCAACACGAACTAAGATTTTATCAAAACTCCACACACTTACCGACATATGAACAGTACCCAAGTTCAATAAAATAATAAGAACCACCAAAAGAGAGTAGGCTATCAGACGATATATTTATTTGATGATTATACCTGGATTCTGGCCCATCTGATTTCGCATATTTTCATGGACTGATAAAGACCCTTCGAGCTTCTTACGGCCCCCCATTTGTGGTTCTGCATGAGATCTCCCACTTTTTTGGCACCATAATTACTTGTAAAATTCACAAATGCGTAGCCCAAGTTGTTATCGTGCCTGCAAAATAAATTCGAACAAAGGAGAAATACAGATATTAAATACAAATAACCTTGTTAGTATCATCCCCGCTGCCATAAAACAAAACGGTATTGAATGTCTGTGGAAGAGATTACTTGAAATCAAATGGGAGGTAGACAAAATCATACTCCAATCCATCTTCCTCGCAGTACCTATCCAGTATCTCCAACAACATGCTCCTCCTGAACATTATCGGATGAAAAGAGTTGAAGGGTATGAGCACCAGACCAACGCACTCAGATGATCATTAATAAAAACATAGAATCTTAATATTAATGCATGCGTTTGGAAATTCTTATATGCTTTGAATACGCTCATAACATTCAATGAACAGTACTGCAGCATACTGCTAGAAATAACAAAGGACATCTTGATAATTGGTACAATGGGGATACGAACAAATCTTTCAGAAAAAAGTGCAAACTGATAACTTTCTTTCACATGCTTTTCAGTTGCTCTGTAACAAAACAATATCAGAGACTCAGACTTGCGAACTCATACTAGGATTACTGAGTAGATGGGAGTGTTAAAAATCACTGAATAAAGAAAGGGGTAAATGGAGACCAATAAAAGAGTTCAAAGAATGGATTACAGAAATTCTATAGAAATTCAATAAACGAGGGAAGAGAATGTTAAATAGGGAACGAGAAAAATAAAAGCAGTCCTGAAGCATATCACAATTTTGCATGAAAACCCTCTTGGAAGAACACTGCAGAAACAACTCACGAAGCCCACATATTTATTGTGTGTGTGTGAGAGAGAGAGAGAGAAACCTGAACTGGTTTGGTATATTTTTTATCATAACAGTGGTATTTTCACAATCTGAATCATCACCCAGAGGGCAACTAGTACTACCAGTAGCACCACCCTTCTCGGACTTGGTCTTTCTAGGCTTCCATCGACGCCCCCGCAACTTCCCACCAAACTCCAGAACGGTCCATCTTCTAACCCTAGACCCCGCTGGCACAGACATGGCATCTTTCTTCTCTCTACCAAAACAAGAATTCAAATCCTCAATTTTCTCCCCCGCCTTCCCAGTTTCCATAACCTCCCCTCCAGAACAACCACTGACTTCAACACCGTGATCAAATCCATTTGGGTACAGAAAAGATTTTTCCACCTGTGGGTTATAAATTTGTTGAGGTACCTGTATATTGTTGGAAGCATAATAATACCCTGTGTAAAAACATTGTCCATGACTATATGCTTGCGGACTGGAAACATAGAAGACCGCCGGTAAAGGCCGTGGAAACCCCACCACCGGCTGTGTTGGTGGGAGAAGTAGCGGTGCAAACAGTGGTTGTTGGCGAAGGATTGTAGGGGACAGAAGGAAAGGCTCTTCGGTTTGTACTGGGCTTAAATATAGCGGTGGGGGCGGTGGGGGTGGTGACACCGCCGGTACAGATGGCGGCGGCGAGTGGAAGTTTTGAGGCGTATGAGAGTGAACATTTTCTGCCCGTGGTGCGTAGTAAGGTGGTGCGTTTGGATCTAAGAGTTTAGGGATTGGAGGAGAACCCATAGCAGTAGACTCGCGGCACATAGTGTTCGAAGGAGGAAGAAGAACAAAGACTATTGAGGAAGAGCAGAGGACACAAGACACATTACTCCTCAAGACAGTTTAATGACTCAAAGTTCATACGCGTCTTGGCCAGAGTTTATATAAAGTGTGGCAATTTCAGAGTTTAGCCATGTGCATTTGTGTGTATTTCATTTGTGTGTTTGTCCCAAAAAATAAATAAATAAGTTTTCAACAAGATTTTAGTGAGCAAATTTCTGATTAATTCCGTTGTTATTAGACTATCGGTAAGTCCCCAACTTACAGCGACAATAATACATATTAATCACTAGATCTAATCTATGCAGGTTTTTTTGTTGGCAGTAGGGCTTAAGGTTCTCCTAGTAAAGCCTAACTTTACTCATTTAATTATTCATATTATATATTAAGTAAATTTATTTTTTATTATGTTATATTTTAATTGAATTTTATAATTCAAAATTAAGATTATGTTATTTCTTATTTAAATTTGCACTCATGATTTTCATTCATATTAGATATTAAACGTGTTTTTTTTAAGGGAAAGGGGGAGGAGGATTTGATCCATTGACCTTAAGAAGGTAAAGTCTTTATAAGATAAGGAGTACTATTGAACCAAAGATCAATTTGTATTAATTAAACGTGTTAACTTTGAGTTATTTTTGTTTAACACTTATTTAACCAACTTATTATTCATAGTAATATATCGTATTATTTTTAAATTCATAGCTTAAAATAAGTAATCCTAATTCCTTAACTTTGTGTTTGTTTTTGATAATGGTAGGATTTCAGCTTGGGCCACCCATCCAAAAGCCCAGAACGTCCAACGGCCCGCCTTGGTTACATGGCAACTGAACGACCTATCCACAGCCTACCCACCCTGCAGTAACAATGAGCCAAGATCCAAAGAAGAGGGTCTAACGACATCTCGGTATGCTCTTGCTTGGCCACACCCAGCTCGAAAATAAGGAGCTCGGTACTTTTTAAATCTCGAACATCTCTCGTCGCACCACGTGTCCATGGGACAGTTTCTAGAGCCACTAACGAATACGTACTCTCTGGTAAAAAAAATATTGGTGTTCATTCCGTTTAAGGATCGTGTGCACGATTTGCTTTAGGATGGCAGGTACCACTACAAGACAAAAGGAAGAGGGGACCACAAAATTAACCAAAGGAAAGAGAAAATTATAGAAAATCCTAGATCAATTACTTGTATAAATAGAACACCATCGCGTTGTGTAAACGGTTCCGAAAAATCCGTATTCACCAAGCATTGTATGCAAAGGCTCTTAGACCAAAAACCTACTATAATCTTCTTCTCCAAGTAATATAAACCTTGAGGAGCAAGAGTGTTCGTTATAGTGGATGTAGCCTTGGTCTTTTGGCTAGGGTAAACCACTTATATGTTGTCTTGATCCAACTTTATTTCTTTCTTCTCTATTAGTCTAAATATTCATATCATCTTCCTCATTGGGTCTCAAAGCCACGGTTCTACACTTGGGCCAAGTATTTTCGAGCACCATCAGCTTAGCACCATGTGTGGGAATGGTTTTCATCGTTTCCTTCGAGTTTTCTTTGTACATCTATTGGTTTGATGGTTTCGACTCGAAACATGAGTAAGTCTCACGCAAACCCTTAAGTCCCGCAGAACCTACCGGAGAGTTTCCCTATGCTAGCAATGGACATAGAAAATTATCTTCCAGCAACAGACGTTCATCTAAACGAGTTGGAGACATATTGCAGAACCACTATGTAACTTATGAAACAGAATCAAGACTTGGTGGCGTGATACAGGCGCATCACCTTCCACAGGCTCCGCTTGTACATCCTATGCCACCTCCACCTCTAGCCCAAAATGATATTCCTCTTCAGGATCGTCATATACCACACGATGGAGTTACAAACCTCCATGAGCACAACATTCAGGGGAAAACCACCAACAGAAGTAGCCGGATGAATGCACAGATGATGAGGCCCATATTCGGGCTGGAGCTATACCCAAAGAAGACTGGCCTCTGCCTCCGCAAGACGCTAAGGACCATTTTTGGCAGCAAAGATTCCACGAGATCCAGTAAGAACTCGGTAACGTGAAAGAAGTAGTGAATACCATGCTTCCTATCACCATGGATACCTTGGTTCAACAAACCAAATCGCCTCTCACCTCTAAAATCCTTCATTTTCCCCTCCCCAGAAGTTTCGGATGCCACAGATAAAGGCATTTGATGGAACCAAAGATCCAGTAGATCACTTGAACTTGTATAAAAACTAAATAGAGCTTCATGGGTACCCAGACCCTATTCGGTGCCAAGTTTTTGCCATAACCCTTAAAGGGTCGACCAACTTGGTTTAACAGATTGCAAACGTCCTCGATCTCTTCCTTTTGAGAACTGTCCATATAGTTCGTATCTTACTTCATAGGAGCCAGAACCTATAGGAAACTGTCTTATCATCTGTTAAGAATCAAACAGGGACCCAACGAGTCCCTACAAAGCAAAGCACAATGGTTTAACTAGGAATCTTTAAAGTTAGAAAGTATAGACGACAAATTCGCCCTAACCACTTTCATGTCAGAACTCGGCCTCCAATCAAAGGACCTCCTATTTTTGATTGGCAAGAACCCTCAAGCGACCATGGCCGAGGTGCTTGTAAAAGATGAGAAGTACATTAATGGCAAGGAGTCCCTTCACTTAAAAGGAGGGTTGCTGTCTACAAGCAAAGGAGAAAATAAGAAGAGAAAGCATAATTCGAGAAAAGAAATGAGACATAATCGATCCCCACAGAGAGATCGGTCTCCTAGAAGAGACATAGAGTCTTCCTCGAAAAAGATGGATAATGTCAAAAACCCCCTTGGTCCTCCGCCTCAAGAATTACAACCTAGATATGTACCATCTCGGCTTACGCCCCTAAACGCCTCCATTTTTCAGGTCCTCTATGAGGTCCAGAGGTTTGTTAGTTGGCTATTACGGATGAAGTCTGATCCTAGAAGAAAAGATCCCACAAAATATTGCAACTTCCACAAAGACATGCCATGAGACTAATGATTGCATTCAAATGAAGAAGGAAATAAAATATATCATTCAGATGAGCCATTTACGACACTATGTGACAAGAGAAGAAAGAGAGAAAAATGATTGAGAAATAGATGATCGAGTTATCATGCCACCCCCGTAACAGCACCAACAGGCCCTTGGGAAAATCAGGTTCATCTCGACCGACTTTGCGGGTGGAGGCAAGTCCAGCTCAGTAAGAAGGGCATCTGCCAATAGGATGAGATATGATGATTTTCTTGAGGCACAAACGATTCGAAAGGTCCCACGTAGGGATGTGGAAATAAACTTCTTAGACGCCAATCTGGAGGGATGTCAGCACCCCCATGACGACCCTTTGGTTGTAAAAGCCATCATTGCAAGCAAGGTTGTACATCGTGTGCTCATTGATAATGGCAGCTCAGTAGATATCATATTCCTTTTCACTTTTGATCAACTTGGTATTGACAAGTCGAAGCTTGAACCAGTAAAAACTCACCTTCTAGGCTTCTCAGGTGAGAGGTTCCTGCCCATTGGATCCATCCAGCTCATCCTCACCCTAGGGGACGACCCCTGCCAAGTTATCACTATGGTCCATCTCGTTAGCATACCACTTAGTCATGAAATTTTCTTGAAATTTTCTACAAAAAATAGGGTTGGGGTGGTGAAAGGATATCAACGCCTCGCTAAGGAGTGCTACGTGGCGTCTGTGAGGTAGAAAGAAGTAGAGTCTATTCAGCTAGAGGACCTTGATATAAGAGATGAGATAGAAACTTGATCAACACTGACAGAGAAACTAGAGCCAATGCAGATCGATGAGGACCCCGAGCATGTGGTCTTTGTAGGTTCAATGTTGCTCCATGATATCAAAGACAAACTCATCTTGTTCTTGAAAAAAAATACTGATGTATTCGCCCGAAAACAAGAGGATATAGAGGGAAACGATCTAGAAATAATTGTCCACCGACTCGGTATCGATCCAAACTGTAAGCCGGTCAGGTAGAAGAGGAGGAGTTTTGCTCCAGAAAAAGCAAAAGGTAATCAACGAAGAGGTGGCTAAACTGTAGCGAGCAAGGGCCATCAGGGAGTTAGATTATCTGATTGGCCAACGTGGTGCTAGTCAAGGAGGAGAAAGAAAAATGGCAGCTATGTATTGACTTTACCGACCTTAATCGTGTGTGCCCCAATGATAGCTTCCCTTTGCCCAAGATCGACTTGATAGTTGATGCCATGGCAAGGCACGAGCTCGTCAGTTTCATGGACGCCTTCTCAAGATACAATCAGATCAAAATGGATCCCAATGACTAGGAAAAGACCTCTTTCGTTACGGAATAAGGAATCTTTTGTTATCAAGTTATTCCATTTGGACTGAAGAACGCTGGGGCCACCTACCAAAGATTGGTTTATCGGATGTTTTGAGAGAAGCTTGGATCAATGATGGAGGTATACATCGACAACATGCTAGTCAAATCCCTTAAATCTGAGCTCTACATCTGGCATCTCTGGGAGTCATTTGAGAACATGCACCAACACAAGAGGAAATTGAATTCGGCTAAATATGCTTTTAGAGTCTCGACAGGAAAGTTTTTGGGGTTCATAGTGAATAGTCGAGGTATCGAAGCAAACCTCGAGAAGGTGAAAGCTATTTTGGAAATGAAATATCCCACAAACACCCAAGAAGTGCAATGCCTCACCGGAAGAATAGCGGCACTCAATCAGTTTGTGTCACGCTTTAGTGACAAGTGTCAGCCATTCTTTGAGGTTCTAAAGACTGCGTTCTAGTGGGACAAGAAATGTGAAGAAGCCTTCCAAGCTCTGAAGACCTATTTGATTTCGCCACCCATATTAGTCAGCCACCAAGAGGGACAAGTCTTAACCCTTTATCTTGTCGTATCTGACTTTTCAGTTAGTGCCGCTTTGGCAAAGGACAGAGAGAGAGCTCAACAACCGATCTACTTCTGCAGTAAGGTAGAAGAAAGA